GAATACGGTGAGCAAGCATACTTAAAGCACATAGTCTCTCTCCTGTTCGATAGTGGGGAAAAAGGGATTAACTTTGTCTCTGCATTTCGCATTGGGAGAAAGCGAGAAAACCACGCCAACTCCCGTCCTCTCAAAATTGTCTGTCAGGATGAAGAAGAGTGCCGCCGTATCCTCTGACGGACATCATGTCACAAGGGTGAAAATTCCATGTTCTTAGAGATCTCTCCCCAGAAGATCGAACCAAAATGAGGAACAGTTAACGAACTACGAACCCGTAGAGCAAATGGCGAGACCAACTTACACATAGTGGATTTTCAGGTGGTGCGAAACGTACAGAGATCCCGCTGCAAGTCACTGTTTGTCCTCCCTGAGACTTAAAAATAAGGACGAAGAATGGACTACAGGTAATGGTTGCAAAAGTCCGCAGCCTCCGGAACAAGTTGGATAAGCTACACGCCCTTACTTCAAAGCTGCTTCCTGACCTGTTGACCTTCACTGAGTCCTGGTTCACTTCAAATATCTCCGAATTTGAGGTCTACATCTCAGGATACCTACTTTTCCGTGTTAACCGATCTGGAACAAGGGCTGGTGGCGGCCTAGTTCTCTCCTGGAGAGCGGATCTTAAACTTCATCTCGTATAAGCTGTCAGCGGCGCTGTTGGTGGCGCACAGCTGCTCTGGTGCAGAATCAATCACGACTTCAAATCTCTTATGCTTGGCGTTGTCTACACAGCCCCGTGGGAACATGGCGCCTCTATGCTAGACTTTATCAAATTGCATGGAAACCGCAGAGATTGTCTTATCGTAGGTGACTTCACTGCCCCAGAGGTTAATTGGGACCTACTACACTACCGCCTTCCACCAGAGCCCTTTGACACTAGCCTCCTTCACACTGTCCTCAAAAGGAATCTCTCCCAGCATATCGCTCACTCGGCTTCTTCCCGACCAGACTCCGCACACCATTGAACTTGTGCTCACTCCGGCTCTGTTTGGTGCCTCAGAATTGACCCCTCTACAGCCCATTAGTAAACGCGACCCTTGCACGATCTCCTTCTTATGGACTAAACGTCTGGCTTTCCGAGCCCGGAGCGCACACCGTCAAGAATTCTGACGGACTGACGCATCCATGTTAAGGGTGGCAGCGAGTTCGTTGGACTTGAATGTTTCACAACACTTGGAACTCGATGCTGCTTGGAACGATCTAATAGAGGTAAGTGGAGCCGATGACCAAAAACGAGGTCGTGCACAGGCTTATCGCGGAGCACGTGAGCTGTCTGCTACATGCGTAGGTCACCAGCACGAGCGTGGAACGACCGAACTAACTTTGGGCATGAGGTGCAAACTGCTTGGCCAGCAAATACAGGCCCGAGTCAATGGAGGCGAACCATTCTGCCAGATATGGAATATCCGTCGGACGGTATTAACTCACATTTACTGAGAGCCAAACACTTCCAAAATTAGTATGCTTCGTTCACCATTAAACAGAACTGACCTATCGTGTAGAATTGACCCTGTTTATCCAGCCTTGGCCTTCTTTATCCCGTCGGTTGGTTGGGCGCGTGACTGAGCAATCAGGCGGTCGTATTCTCGCAGGCGTAGAATAGCTGCAGTGCAGCAGTACGAAGACAGCTTTACAACAGTGGCGACCCTAATCAGAAGAATCCAAGGATGTCCGTCAGTTTTGAACTATTTCAGACTCTGTTGCAGCAACAGCAGGCGCAGTTTGAGAAAGCACAGGTCAAGTTGGTCGAAACTCTGACCAAGACTTTGTCACTAAAAACAGGCTCGGTAACAGGAACAAGTGAACGTTGCTCCTCAGCTGAAACCTTGACCCAGCAAGTTTGTGCGTTCCGTTACGATGCCGATGCCGGTATTACCTTTTGAATCGTGGTTCTATAAATACGAAGAGCTGTTTTGCCTTGATTTAGCCGGTACTTCAGAGGACAAGGGAGTTTGCCTCATAGTGCGAAAATTGGGTGCGGCCGAGCATGCAAAGTTTATGAATTTTATCTTGCCGGTTGCTACTTTGTCCCAGATATTTGGATAGCAGTCGTCATTATTCAATATCCGATACAAGTGCCTGACAATGACCAAGCGAGACGACGAAGACTGGGTTATTTACTCGAGTCGCGTAAATCGTAGGTGTGATTTACAACACGATCTATTCTACAAGTTGAAGCCATTCATTGAACACGTCGTCTCATTCCACAGTAACATGCCTCTCGAAGGCTACCCCCTGGATCGAACGAGAACTCACGGCCAACCTGAAACACCGAAGAAAACTAAGGGATAAATTCAAACTTTCCCGCTTAGGCTCAGACTACTCTAACTACATGGTCGTCAGGAACTTTTGGTCCCTACCGAAACGTGAAGAGACAAGGATACGAGCATAGCCTGGCTGAACCATCTCTTTCTAGGCCAAAGAAACTGTTTACATGCCTTAACAGATCTTCTAAGCCCGACTGTGGAATTCCTACATTGTCTACGAATGAGCCAGGTATAACACACCATGATGAGGACGCCAAGGCTGACCTCTTGGCTCTACGGTTCTCCTCAGTATAGACGAAGGGAGACACACTGGCAAACAGCCATGTACTTGCGCATACAGTACGTCTGGGACATATCGATATTGATACAGCTGCTACCTTGGAGTTACTACTAGAACTGAACTCAGATTCGTCACCAGGCCCAGACGGGCTACACCCCCATTTTCTCAAGATGGTAGCAGCATTCATTCCCGTCCCACTGTCAAATTTTTCAGCTCTCTCTTAAAGCTGATCGATTACCTGTCAATTGGAAGACGGGTGTAGTTATGCCGAAATACAAGGGTGGAAACCGCCAGGACCCTGCGAACTATCGGCCAATTTGCTTGACGTCGGTCGCCTGCAAGATCATGGAAAGCTCACTAAATGTGCCATCCACCGACACTGCGAAGATCTGAACATCACTTCATCTACTCAGCATGGCTTCCGAAAGGGACGTTCCTGCAACCTTAACTTGCTGGTTGCAAAAGAGAAGTGAGCTAAGGGAATGGACGCTGGAAAACGTTTATATGTTGTCTTCATCGACTTCAATAAAGCTTTTGACAGAGTCTCTCATCAGGAACTACTCTCTAAGCTCTGCGGAATTGGCATAACAGGGAACCTCCTACTATTTATCAGTGACTTCTTGCAAGACCGGAACATGCAGGTCAAGGTAAATGATACCCTTTCATTTCCAGTGCCTATGTCCTGTGGCGTACCACAAGGCTCCGTTCTCGGACTTGTATTTTTCAAGATATATATCAATGACCCACCAAGTATGCTACAAACGGATTGCCTGATTTATGCAGAGGACCTCAAGCTATGGTCGGAAGTGTTCAGCCTCAATGACGCCGACCGATTACAGGAAACACTTGATCTACTACACGCTTGGTCTATCAAGTAGAGTTTGCCAGTCAACAAAGATAAGTGCTCTGTCCTTTCCGTCGGTGCTGCTGAACCACTGGGCATCTATCACATTGGCGGGCACCTACTCAAGATTGCCACCCAGGAAAAGGACCTGGGGACAATAGTATCCTCTGATCTCAAAACTACCCGTGACACATTAAGAAAACTGCTACGCTAAACTGGATGTGAGGCGTCATAAGGAGATCATTCTCTAAAATGACGCCGTAGATATTTAGACTTCTATTCACCTCGCACATCCGTCACATCTTTAAATTCGGACTTCCGGCCATAGCGCATTTATCGAAGCATGGAAGTGACAAGATAGAAAAATTTTGCGACCAGCCTCTAAATTTGTCCTTGGACTACGCGAACTTCCGTATCCCACCCGACTACAGAGGATGAACCTTTTCCCCTAATCTATGCCTCATTTATGCTAGGCGTATCCTACGAGAAGGATTGGGAAACGAGCTGCGTTAGTTTTTTCAGCTAAGACTTGGCAGTTCGCCCCGAGGTCACAGCTGGAAGCTGTTTAAACCGAGGAGGTTCAAAGTCCGCTCAGATGTTGCTCTCTCTCACTCGAGTAATTAATGACTGGAATCGACTGCCGGACCCGATTGTCAGTGCGCAGTCAGAAACGAGTTTCAAATGTTTGCTAGACATCTCCCTGCTGAGTACTCCAAGATCCTGCAGGGCTGATACTATATCCTGAGCTATGCCACAGCTATTCCGCCTGCAATCCTTGTAAGAAGTGAAGGAGCTGACACGGGACCTCCCTTCTGCTCTCTGCCACTCAATGAATGACTGCTGGACAGGAAATGTGGGTAGTAATTACTTGGCCAGAGTGTGATGTGGTTATTTTTATGCTTATTAAAACCTGAAACCGACCTATCAGATTCTGGTTCAACGGTACGCCGAAGGAGGAACATTCGCGAGATTTTCCTGTCGTTCCAATCCCACCTGAACTTGACTGCAGACCGCGCATCCTTCGCTTGGTTACCTCTGGGTTATCCAGCCACTTTCTGATGTCCACTTGTCAGCAGGCAATCAATATATTATTCGTCCATATTATTACTAGGCGGTTAGGATTTGACTTCTGGACACCTACTTTCTCTTTGTTTTCTGTTGCAGGTCTACGGCGGTCTACTCTACTTGTCGGCTACAGAAGAACCTGGAATCCCGAATTGGACCATTTTAGTTTCTGTGAATTGGGCGCTTTGTCCGTATGAGTCTACCATTCCTTGTTTTCATATACTTCCTTGCACTTTTGCCTCACAGCACCATCAGGTTCGCGCGATTCCTCATTAATAATCGTTTAGCGCGGACCTGAGCAATGTCACCTACTTCAACCTGACTGACTGTTTGGCTTTCTTTGCCCAGCGGATTTATCTTGTGAATACGAAAAGCTCGCAAAGGATTGCACTTCCCCCTTTGCAGAATTTCGACCCAAACAAAAGCAGGTGTGAATCTGGTACCGCTGTTCTGGCGTTCTCTTTCAGTAACGTACAGGAAGTGAGTAGTATGGATATAAGGTACTTTGTCTTCTTTTAACTGAGGTTTTAGCTTTCACTTCTCTATGGTTCGCCAACATTGGAAGGTTTCTGAGTCTAACTTTAACCTCACTTGCAAAGACCAATCTTCTACCTGTGCCAGCATCTCCAACGGCCGTTTGAGTCTCGATTGGCTAGGCGCGCCCAATGGATTCAGCTATAAATGCACCAAACCGTCACTGGTCCGGGCTTTTGATGCAGCAGGTTCCCCGACAACTCAAGCGCTGCGGTTTCAGTGGATTCAGGTAGGAGTTTGAATCAAACCTGCAAATTTGCTTTTTCTTTTCGTTCATTGAGTTGTAATGCATAGGGAATAAACATTAGTAACTTCGTCGATTCAGACAGTGGATTTGATGCATTTCGTTGCGTGACGACTCATTTCGTGGTCTCGTTGCATTTGCAACGGCGGCAGCAGGATCCTAAGGTTCTTAACTAGCGGTAGGCTAAAATCCGCTTGAAACGTTCCTCCTCCGACGCCTTACCATCTGAGTGACGTCTTTGCAAATGCGGTGTCTTCTTGGTTTGGATAGTTTCCATTTGTTACCTTGTGTCCAACAATCGGCCTTCAGCTGGGGAAATCTTTGTGGCTCATTTCACAATTTCCCGGTCCAGATGAGGCTACTCCGATGACCGCGGAACTGTGGAGAACATGTTCAGCCGCTGAAGTCGAATAGAATGGGAGTGGCCACGAAATCCCAAGACAGCTTTTGTGGAACGTGTGTAAACCTTTTCCAGCAGGACTCATTTTGACTTTGAAGAGTTGAATGGCTGGTAACCCAAGTCCCAGATCGGATGAGCATATGGTGTGAAGGGAAATCGAAGCATCCCAGGAGTCATTGCGGCGATTGTTCTTCCTAAATCACTTAGCAGCCCCATTGCAGCAACGACCTTTTTCTGTGTGTCCTTACATGTTCTGAGTTCATAAGACACGATAATCAAGTTCGGTGGACCTGCTCTAATAGGTGATCTACACGAGTTGCTAGTAAAACTTTGGGAGCAGGAGACAGTCCCGACAGACTGGAACCGCTCCGTCATTGTCCCAATTTTCAAGGGAGGCTCCCGTTTGGTATGTGGTAATCATAGAGGGATCAGTCTGATTTCGATTGCCTCTAAATTGCTTGCCTCTCTCATTCTCCACAGACTGACTGGCACTCGTGAAAGCCAAATTCGTGAAGAGCAAGCCGGATTTCGTCGAGGTCGGGGCTGCATCGACCACATCTTCACATTGCGTCAAGTGTTGGAGCACCGCCATGTTTATTGGCGACCCACCGTTGTCGTGTTTCTTGACATAAAAGGTGCCTTCGACTCAGTCGATCGATGTGCCCTTTGGGACTGTCTGTTGAGGAAAGGTGTGCCTGATAAATATGTAAACATTATCAAAGCGCTGTACGCACATAGTTCGGGCAGGGTGAGGGTTTATGGCAAACTCTCGCCACCCTTCAGTATCACCAGCGGTGTGAGACAAGGATGCCCGCTGTCACCTTTCCTCTTCAACTTCGCTATTGATGAAGTCATGGAAACAGCGTTCGCTGGACACGACCTAGAAGGTGTGGAGCTACTCCCTGGTGAGCGACTTCTTGACTTGGAGTATGCAGACGATATTGCCCTAATCTGTGACAGCTCCCAAACATGCCAAACAGCACTGAACCGATTAGCACTGGCTGTCAGTCGTTTTGGGCTATGCTTTGCTCCATCAAAATGCAAAGTACTTCTCCAAGATTGGCAGGGACCCAATCCTGCGCTAACGCTTGGTGGTGATCTGCTAGAAGTCGTTCAGGAATTCAAGTACCTGGGCAGCTATATTAGCACCCGTGGGACTGAAGATGAGGTTACGAACCGTATAGCAAAAGCTCGAGGTGCCTTTGCCAATCTCCGCCACCTGTGGCGCAGACGCGACATTACTCTCGCCCTCAAGGGCAGAGTTTACAACGCAGCCGTCCGTTCAACTCTCCTATATGGCTGTGAAACCTGGCCCATCAGGTCGACAGACATGAAGAGACTCGTCACGTTCGATCATCGCTGCCTTCGCAGCTTAGCTCATGTCTGGTGGGAACACCGCGTGAGCAATGAGCGTGTTCGACGTCGCGTATTTGGTGCAGGAAGAGCGAGTGAACCGCTCAGCACGATTATATCACGCACCAGGCTCCGATGGCTGGGCCACGTCTTGCGCATGCCAGCACACCGACTCCCACGACGTGCATTGTTTGCGCGTTGTGGGTGCGGTTGGAAGAGGAGGAGGGGAGGCCAAGTGATGACTTGGTCGCGAGAAATGAAAACCCTCACTTCGAAGTTGGCGTCGGTTGGTGCATCCCGACTGCCTGGCTGGGGTCCTAAGGACGGTGAACACGTTTGGCTGGACACACTTGCTGATATGGCTAGGAGCCGGTCCCAATGGCGTTTGTGTTGTGAGTTCCTTTGTCCATCCCCCTCCTGTTTAGCATCCCCCTCCAATCACGATCTCAATTGTTAGGCATAATATGACTTTCTTTTACGGCAGCCAGCTGTTAGCTCTCCGGAACGATGTCCATCCGTTACTGGGGACTCAGCGGGCGTGCCACTGTTTGTTTGTTTTTTCTTTTCTTGCCTTTTGTATTGCGGCACAATAGCTGAGGTGTTTTCCACCTCCAGCTAACGTGTAATGATGATGATGATGATGATAATCCCGAGCTCTTTCTCTCGTGTGGTATTCCTGTTGAGAAATTCACCAAGGTGGTATCACTGAGTAAATTCACAGCGCATTTATCGCAACTTGCTGAAAACCACCACTTGGAAGTGCAGTCTTGTAGATGATCTAGAGCCCCTTTGTAGTTTGTCAGCATCGCGACGCACTGAACGTTTGGGTGGTGCGGTGGTTTGCTTGCCTTAGCGATTCATCGGGCTATGCTGGGTGGTGCTTTTGCACTTTCAAAACCACTCCTACCAGATTCGTTAATGGTTAGAGCCTTGACGAATTTAGTTTACTAGCCCTCCAGGTTGAGGCTTGAAGTGTGGGTGGCTCCTAACTTCATACTACGGACTTTGTGTAGACCAGTGCCAAAAGGTTGCTTCCTTGCGGCCAGGTTTTTTAACCAAAGGTTTTGGTTGAGAACCCTAATCGTTCTCCTGTCTAGGCTTGGACAATCTGACAGTATCCTGCCCACGCAATACCACTCAATGACTTTCCCTTCAAACCATCTCTTGATGCCCTAGCCGTCGCGGAGGATTATAATCGGCGCAATATCTGCTGCACCCAACTGGGTGGATATGGGTGAGGATGCTACTGCACAAGCCTTCCCCACTTCTTACCCCCCTTGCATTTTTTATCGTTACCGTCTTGTTCCTACTTCACTATTATCCCTGCTGTTTTCAACTCCCGAGTTCTCGGCACTCCCCATTCTGGTTTGTTAATCGCTTATCTTCTAGTTTCGACTCACGCGCATTCGTATGGCGTCGCTGTGATCTAGTCGACAATTCCATGTCCAGCCAAACGAGCAACGTCAGTTTACCCGTTTCCCTTTAGAGTCCTCGATTCTCGCTAAGACTGGCATGCCTCAATATGCTCACTGCTACAGATTGGCCAAAAGGCAGCGTTTGCCCGAACACGCTAGGTTCTATCGATCAACATTAACTGTTTATCGGAAACGCGCCTGCAAGATTCGAGGTCCTGCTTACCCTGCGACCTTCAACATGCGACACGCAGTGTTTTCTCTGCGATTGTCCTTAGAGTACGCAGCTTCAAGTGCCCGCCAAGCCGGTCTTGGCATTGGTCTTAGTCCGTGGGATGATGCTGGCCTGATCGACGACCCGATTTAACAGCCGGACATGCGCTGTCAAATTGACTGGCTCGTTCAAAGCATCGAAGTCACGTGGGGACAAATGGTGCTTGCTTGTCACTGCGGTCTACGCGCCCACAAATTGTGACCATTACTCTGTGAAAGACAACTTCTATCACTAACGTGCTTCTCCATCACGGCAAAATTACAGGTACTGTGGTTCTAACTGGTGATCTGACCGCCATGTTGTAAAATTTTTCACAGACGAGCCTCTACTAGGCCGCAAGCACTCTGTCCTCCCTCGTACTGATAACGGTGAGCGCTAACTTCCGACGCAGCACCCGCAGACATGTGACATGATGCCTACCAGCCTCGGATCAGCCATGGACGCAACTCGATCATATCGCGATCAGTTACCTTCGAAGAGGCTCTGTCCAAAACTGTCGCTCGATCTGGGGCACTTGCGTGAACTCCGACCACGCACTCATTTAGGCCGATCTTATAGTTCGCTTCGGTAGACACAAGTGATGATGTGAGCACATAGATACTTGCCAACTAACGAACTCCGTCGTTTTGAATGCATATCAAATACGCTGGCATCCGAGCTGAGTAAGCACCCACTGAACACCATTGACCATTGTTCACATATGTACCAGATGTTATTAGCAGCAGGTATGTCTTCATGTGACAAGACAAATCGTCAACTTAAGCATTGAGTCACAATACAGCAGCTAGAACTTCTGAATGCCCGCCGACGTATTCCGCCTGAAAGCGAATACAATGAGACTCACAAAAATCTCCGGGCGAAACTGCGTGCTAGCCTGAACAGAGACCGCGAAGTCTGGTGGTCTCATCATGCACCGGAGATGGGGAAAGCCGCTGTCTTTGTAAACCATCGGACGTTATTCCGTCTGATTAGAGAAACGGACAGCAGGAGACCTGGTGTTAACGAGACCGTATGCGACGGCTTGGCTCTAGACTTTACACGACATGGCTCGCAGTAGACACCAGTGACGCGTCTGCTGTCGTCTCCTAATCGGATTACCTGTTTAAAGTGTGTTTGGTACTGAGTTATCTGCGGGGTAATGGCTGATTATGGCACGTTGCAGTGAAGGCCGTATGGAAGCTGTCTCGCCGATGCCGCCTTATCTTTGCACGATAGCCGGCTGTTTGTGACGTTGTCTACACAAATTGTAGGCGCCTTGTTTAGGGCACTAAAGTTTTCAGTTAACTCTCCCTTCTCTCCCTCTTATTCTTTATTTCATAGGTCCTCATGGTTGTGTGGCAGCGAAGCATCAGTTCAAATGGCTGATGTACTGCTGTTGTTGTTGTTGATGGTGGTGGTGATCCGCTAAAAGTCGTTCATTAGCTTTGGTACCTTATGTTAGCACCTGTGGACTTGAAGATGAGGTTACAAACCGTATAGCAAAACCTCGAGGTGGTTTTGCCAATCTCTGCCACCTGTTGTACCGGCTTGACATCACCGTCACCCTGAAAGACAGTGTATAATGCTGCCTATTGTTCAACTCACTATAGTTCCGAAACCTGGCCCATGATGTCGACGCACATAAGGGGGCTAGTTACGTTCGATCACCCGTGCCTTCGAAGCTTAGCTCATGTCTATCGGGAGCACTACGTTAGCAATGAGCGTGTTTGGTGTCGGGTATTTGACGCAGGAACAGCGCGTGAACCGCTCAGCACCATAATATCACGCATGAGACCCCGATGGTTAGGACACGTGTTGCTCATGCCAACCCACCGACTCATGCGGTTTGCGATGTTTGTCAGCCCCGAGTGTGGATAAAAGAGAAGGAGGGGAAGCCAAGCGATGACTTGCTCAGGAGAAATGAAGGCCCTTAGTTCTTAGTTGGCCTTGGT